ACAAAGCATTGTGGAAAGTACTGACCAGATTTCATTGTCCTGAAAAGTACATTAGAGTCATCAAAGTACATCAAAGACTTCTCCATGACCAGATGACTATGACAATTCTTTTAAATGGATTGGACAAAAATGCATTTGTCATACAAACTGGGGTCAAGTAAGGGTATGTCATCACCCCAACTCTATTCTCTATTTTTCTGACAATCACCTTTGTTCTCACCTTCTGGAATTGACATTGAATACTGAATGGACAAAGAACTCTTCAACCTGGAACATTTTGGTCACTCGAAGACCAAAGTACTTAAAACAACCATCTTTGACTTTCATGCTGCACCATTCTTGTGTACACTGAGGAAAATCTCCAGACTGCGCTGGATCTTTTTGGAGAATTCTACTAAAATTTTGGGCCTCTCTCTCAACATCAAGAAGACTAAAATACCCTATAAGCCTGGCCATGGCCATGAATGTGCACACCCTTCCCAAATTACCATGGAGAGAAAGACCCTGGAGCTAGTAAAGCACTTCCCCAACCTTGGTAGCCACCTCTTTCAGAGAGTGAACATCTAATGAGGAGATCCAGCACAGGATCCGGTGCACAAGTGCCTCTTTTCCAAAATTGCTTTTGTGTGTATTCATCACAATCTCTGGAAAGACACCCAGATCCAGGTCTACAATGCAGTCATCATCCCCACTTTCCTCTACCAATGTGAAATGTGAATGACCTACACTCATCATCTCAAGAGCTGGGAGACATATCACCAATGATGCCCCTGGAAAATCCTCCGCATCAAATGGGAAGAACTCTGCACAAACACCAGCATCTTTGCTGAAACCAATATTTCCAGCATGGAGTAGGTGATCCTCAAGCACCAACTTTGCTGGGCTGGACATTGTATGCTCATACATTTTTCCAGAACCACCCATCCTAGGCTTTAAACAAGTACCAAACCTCGCTAACCTCATCACCAGAAGCAAACTCCCTATGACCGAAACCACATCCAATGGATCCAGACCATGCCAGAACAAGAAATGCAAAACCTGCCAACACAATCTCCACCACCCTCACAATAATACACCCTACCACAGATCCATCACCATTCCTGGATCTTACACCTACATCTCCAGAAATGTAATATATCTCATCCAATGCACCAAATGCACTGATGGAAAATATGTAGGAGAAGACAAGAACAAGAAAACAAGAACTGCACGCCAGAATGAATGCACACTGAAAATCTATCAAAGACAATAATACCCAACTACTTGTGTCTCTCCAATCTCGCAGTTCTAATCCTCAAAGGGAATTTACAAAACACCTTTTGTAGATGAGCCTATGAATTTCACTTCATAAATTTACTGGATACAAAAAATCATGTACTCAATATAGACATTGGATTTATGACACATTGCAACTTGCCTGACATCTGATTCACCAGGTTCCTGCCCCACCAGACTTTTTCCACTTTTTTTTCTTTCCCCTCACCACCCTCCTTTTCTGCCTTTTGTCTTCCTAATTTCCAGCCATTTCCTTTTACACAGACAGCCTCCTTTCTACCTTGTGGAAAAGACAACTCCAATGGCAACCTTCTCTCAAGCAAATGTGCAGAGCCTGGCCTTGTCATGATGAACACTATCTTCAGACAGAGTGACAAATACAAGACCACCTGGAGACACCCTCACTCAAAGCACTGATACCTTCTTGACTATGTTACTATTAGAGCCCATGATCCAATAGATGTCCTTATCACATGAGCTGAAGACTGCTGGACAGATCACCATCTTGTCAGATCCATTATGAACATGTGGCTTCCTCTGAAACAACAAAAAACAGCCAAAAGCACTCTGAAGGACTCTCAGCAGCAAATCTTTTTCAACACCTGAAGGTCTGTAAGGATCTCCAACAGTGTCTCCATGAAAAATTCTCTGCTCTGTCAACAAATGAAGGCAACACTGAGACACTCTGGAAGGGGTTTTAAACTGTCATCCATCCACCTGTGCTGAATCCATTGGCTGTATTAGCCATTAACACCAAGATTGGTTCAATGACAGTGATGCTGAGATCCAAGCCTTCTTGATTGGAAGGAGAGGGTCTCATTCTGCTTAACAAGATGACACCATCTCAGCAGAAGAAGGAGATGTGTCACCTCCTCAAAGCCAAATTGAAAGAAGCATCCAGGAAATCAAAAATCAGTGGTGGCAAGATAAAGTCAAGGAGATCTAGCTTTATGCTGAAAAACATGATATGCATAGCTTTCTCCAGGCAACAAAAGTCCTATGACCCTACTTCCCATGGTCCTACTTTCCTGTGATCACAGGATGGCTTGACAGTCCTAAAAGAAAATGAATCTATCATAGCTAGATAGCAAGAACACTTTGAGGCACACCTGAATCATGAGTTGACTGTGATGAATACCACCATCAAGCCCATCCCCCAACACTCTGAAAGGGGATCCCTTTCCAACCTATCTTAGAAGAGTTTGGTGTGCCATTAAGAGCCACAAGGTTAGTGGACCGAATAGCATACCTGCTGAAATCTACAAGGCTGGCAGCAAAGAACTGGAACTGAGATTTCATGGATTTACTATATGAGTTTGGAACAGTGAAGAGATCCCTGGGGATCTGAGGAATTCCATCATTGTGACTGTCTTCAAGAAAGGAGAGAAGTCTGTGTGTGGGAACTATTGAGGGTATCACCCTCCATTCCACAGCAGGGAAAATCTTTTCCAGCATTCTCCTGAACTATCTTCTACCTTTCACTGAGGAAGTCCTGCTGGAATCTCACTGTGGTTTCAGACCATTCTGTGGGGCACCTGACATGATCTTTGTTGCCTGCTAGGTCCAAGAATTGGGGGCCAACGTCAGGACCTGTATGTGGCATTCATGGACCTTACTAAGGCCTTTGATTCCATCAACCACAAAGCATTGTGGAAAGTACTGACCAGATTTCATTGTCCTGAAAAGTACATTAGAGTCATCAAAGTACATCAAAGACTTCTCCATGACCAGATGACTATGACAATTCTTTTAAATGGATTGGACAAAAATGCATTTGTCATACAAACTGGGGTCAAGTAAGGGTATGTCATCACCCCAACTCTATTCTCTATTTTTCTGACAATCACCTTTGTTCTCACCTTCTGGAATTGACATTGAATACTGAATGGACAAAGAACTCTTCAACCTGGAACATTTTGGTCACTCGAAGACCAAAGTACTTAAAACAACCATCTTTGACTTTCATGCTGCACCATTCTTGTGTACACTGAGGAAAATCTCCAGACTGCGCTGGATCTTTTTGGAGAATTCTACTAAAATTTTGGGCCTCTCTCTCAACATCAAGAAGACTAAAATACCCTATAAGCCTGGCCATGGCCATGAATGTGCACACCCTTCCCAAATTACCATGGAGAGAAAGACCCTGGAGCTAGTAAAGCACTTCCCCAACCTTGGTAGCCACCTCTTTCAGAGAGTGAACATCTAATGAGGAGATCCAGCACAGGATCCGGTGCACAAGTGCCTCTTTTCCAAAATTGCTTTTGTGTGTATTCATCACAATCTCTGGAAAGACACCCAGATCCAGGTCTACAATGCAGTCATCATCCCCACTTTCCTCTACCAATGTGAAATGTGAATGACCTACACTCATCATCTCAAGAGCTGGGAGACATATCACCAATGATGCCCCTGGAAAATCCTCCGCATCAAATGGGAAGAACTCTGCACAAACACCAGCATCTTTGCTGAAACCAATATTTCCAGCATGGAGTAGGTGATCCTCAAGCACCAACTTTGCTGGGCTGGACATTGTATGCTCATACATTTTTCCAGAACCACCCATCCTAGGCTTTAAACAAGTACCAAACCTCGCTAACCTCATCACCAGAAGCAAACTCCCTATGACCGAAACCACATCCAATGGATCCAGACCATGCCAGAACAAGAAATGCAAAACCTGCCAACACAATCTCCACCACCCTCACAATAATACACCCTACCACAGATCCATCACCATTCCTGGATCTTACACCTACATCTCCAGAAATGTAATATATCTCATCCAATGCACCAAATGCACTGATGGAAAATATGTAGGAGAAGACAAGAACAAGAAAACAAGAACTGCACGCCAGAATGAATGCACACTGAAAATCTATCAAAGACAATAATACCCAACTACTTGTGTCTCTCCAATCTCGCAGTTCTAATCCTCAAAGGGAATTTACAAAACACCTTTTGTAGATGAGCCTATGAATTTCACTTCATAAATTTACTGGATACAAAAAATCATGTACTCAATATAGACATTGGATTTATGACACATTGCAACTTGCCTGACATCTGATTCACCAGGTTCCTGCCCCACCAGACTTTTTCCACTTTTTTTTCTTTCCCCTCACCACCCTCCTTTTCTGCCTTTTGTCTTCCTAATTTCCAGCCATTTCCTTTTACACAGACAGCCTCCTTTCTACCTTGTATTACAGCCACTGTAGAGTCTCCCTTACTGACCTTTGGCTTTTTTCCTCCTGCTCCCCCCCCAACCCCCACCACTTTACCATTTTGTTTTCCTAATTTCTACCTATTTACTTTCTCACTATCTTCCTGTCACACTTTTAACTTTTGTCATTCCTTGGAAACTCAGAACAGTAGAGACATCCTATGCTTGAAGAAGGGTGACTGCACCCGAAAGCTTACTAAGAACTGTTTCCAACTGCTCAGTTGGTTTAATAAAAGATATCACATCTACTCAAAGAACCTTGCTTGCCTATGTCCTTAGACCAACATGGGTACAACCAAAAACCCATGAATTGTTTGCTATTCTAATTAATGGAAAACAGCCTCTGAACGAATAACATTGGAAACACAGATTATAACTAAAGGAAACTCAATTTAATGCAAAAAAAAAAGCATTGTGAATAATATACATATATACATATCCATCAGATAAGAGACAAGATAACATTACACTAAACATTAGATATTGACTTAAAAAAAAACCAGACATGCCTTTTAACTTGAACTATTGCCAACACACAAAAGCTTTCCTTTTAGGAGCCCACCCAAAAGGAAAATCTCAATAAAATAAGCAGTGGAAATTTCCTCAGGTGTGACTCCTCTCCATCCATCTCAGTCATCATTATAAAATGATTACATAGTATTTATGATCTCGATTTTCATATAGCTCTCTCTTGTTTTCTTCATGTAGCCGATGGTGCACACAAAATTGTCAGCAATTAAAAAATTTCAGCTGCTTCAAGAAAACATCAATATAAAAGAAAATCAGTAAAAATACAGTATGTTGAGGGTAGTAAAGAAAAGGAATTGACAGACTGAGACAGCGGTATCATTTCAAGAAACAATAACCTATTCTTTTGTAAGTTAAGAATCATTGGTGTTTGTTTTGCCTTTTCTACCAAGATGAGGAAGTTAATACTTGTCTTAGAATGCTTGATTTTTCTGGTTTTCAATCTTTAGTCACATCTAGAAAAAAAAATAGCAATAATTAATGTCAGTAATATTATTTTATTTTCTTAAAAAAGCACCATAGTAAATAAACAAAAGCACCTCAAAATGAAAATAAAATGGATTTTGTATTTATGGACGTTATAAGGGTAAACATTCAGTACAATTAGATCTAGCAGTTCAGCAGTCATTCTTATTGGCGATGTCTCTATAAGTAGTCCCCGGTGCAGCACAATGAACATAGTAGCTGAGGCATAATGAAAACAGTGTAGTACTTTTAGGAGTGAGTGGTGCTATACTGTAAAAATCAGGTGACACTGATGTCATTTGGAGATAATTCCGAGATTGCCATTGATTATACCCATGTGGGCAAAATGTGGCTTTATTTTATAGCAGGAAAGGAGATGATGTTATGTTGTCCCAAATGACTCCAAAATTTGCAGTCAGGCTGTCTTGGTGGTGAACTTGGAAAGTATAATGGTTGTACTATGTTAAAATATCTCTTCTTTCTAGGGGACTGGAAAGATGTAACAATTGCATAGATATTAAATGACATTGATTATAAGCCTATGATATAACTGTTACTTTTGCATGCATCTGTAGATTATTTTTGCTACATTTAACAAATGTAACAAAAGCAGTTGTTACTTTAACCTTGTTTCCTTCATTGAAAGAAGACTTTACTAAAGTTATGTTCCTCTTGGATGAATTACAAACTATAAAGATTACCTAGTGAAGACAATATAAACTTCTATGTTGTTGGCTTTTAAATGAAAATTTCCCAAATCTTTGGTGTGTCATACTATTACATATATTTAAATTTAGTTTTAAGAAATATTGAAGGGACATAAGAAAATTGGATGCAATGTTACTTTTGGATAATTACTTAGGGCCTGCTAAGGCCCTTCATTAGATGTTGCCTGCCATACTGTGGTCATCTATTTCTAAGATGGATGAGGGCAACTCCACAAAGCCAGTCTTAGGTTTTTCTCTCAACTTGTTTTGGATCTCTGCAAAGCAGTGACTGATCTCTTGTGAAAATTGTCATATCTGGTTGGATTTTTTTTTAGACTTTTGTTAACATAAAGATTGCATCATTTTAGCTAACTTGGTCCACACAGCTGCAGCTCCCGATTTGCACAAAGTGATTAAAGCAAGTTTTGTAAGGTGGAACAAAAGAGGACTCCAATTATAAGAGGGAAGATCATGACAAGAGAGAGATGAGAGACTGTGATACTGAAGCGTTATTCTTTCTTCCATGTATATATTGTCTTCTCTCATCAAGCACTCTTTAGGGGTCAAGTTCCTTAAGTTTTAGTCATTGCACTGTAACCTCGTAATCATACTGTTTTACCAAAATGCTCCCTGTTGGGAAGTTGTTTGCTGTAATAAAAAGCCTTTCAGACAAGCAAAGACAACTGAAGGAGCAAACTCCTCCTTTTCAAGGCAAAACACATATGGAGGAAGAAGGTGAAGATTAATATGAACTTGGCCTGCCTGACCACCCTCAGCACCTGAAGGACTGTTAGTGTAAGAACACTGACCCAGCTATCATTTCATTTGGTTGTACCATTAGTGGTCTAGTGACACGGTGATCCCAAAGGTTATGAGAGCTAAAAAGGTTGAAACTTCTTAAAAACCTTTGGATCTCTGAAGCAAGGGAGACATCTCAATTTCTGCTTGAGAATATACACACATAAGTGTGAGCAGGGGTGGATCCTGAGAGGCGGCCACAGGAACCTTTGGGGATGTTTTTAAAGTCCTTAAAGGAAGTGAAAATCCCCTTTCCCTCTTCCTTCCCCTCACCTGCTGCTATGCTGGGATGAGGGAAGCACCAGAGCTGTTCCTGCCTGCCCCAGCCCTGCTGGGCTCAGCAGCAGATGGAGAAAGCAGAAGTAGAGATGGTCAGGGAGATCCCTTTCCCTGTGGCTGCTCTGGGGGCTGAGGCAGGGAGGGTGGAACTACTCCTGCCAGATTAAGCCTACCTGCAGTGCACTGTCCTGCACCTACTAGCTTGGATCAGGCCCACTCTCCTACCCCATACTCCTGGATTTGGCCTTCCCACACCCGGCCTCCCCTTGGCACCCCAAATCCCAGCTTGCAGCTCCTTGGCAGCTTACCTGTGGCTGCCAGCACTGTCCTAGCAGGGTAGGAGAATCCATCTGCTGCTGCCACAGCAGTTGGACAGTTGGGCTCAGCCATGAGAGCAGCTGTGGCAGTAGTGGTGGTGGTGGTGGTGGTGGTGGAAGCAGCCAGACAAGCCATTTCCTCTTTCCTGCCTGCTCCCTCATGATAGCACTATCGGCCACAGGTGGGCTGGGGGACACACGGGGTGGGGGTGAGTTGCAAGGGCTGGAGGGGGAGCCCTGGGTCCAGGGGAGCACAAGAAGAGCTCTCAGGAGTAGAGGGGGATGGGGGGATCCATGAGAGGCAGGAGGAGCCCAAAATGGGAGGGGAGGAGAGGGGAGGAGAGATTTTTACTTATAGGTGCTCCTTCTTAAACAGTGACAGTGGGGGCAGATAGAGCAGGTAGGACAGTGCCTTCTGGGATGCTGGAGAACCCCTCTCAACTGTTTTTGGGCCTGTGGAGTAGTCACATGTGACTGCAATATGAGTTGCCCAAAACCAGTTAGAGATAATCCTCTATGGAAGAGGATTGTCTCTGAGCTGCTCAAAGGGCCCTTAGCATAGGGGTGGGCAAAATGCAGCCTGGGGGCCAGATGCGGCCTGCCAGACCATTCTATCTGGCTTGCAGGAGGGGCCCCTAAAAATTTAGAAAATTAATATTAATCTGCCCTGGCTGCCTGTCATGCAGCCCTTGATGGCTTGCCAAAACTCAGTAAGCAGCCCTCTGCACAAAATAATTGCCCGCCCCACCTTAGCACATGTTTACTGCTCTAGTGGGTGGACACTCCTGCTTTAAGGACCCTTAACAAATATTTTAATTAACGTGTAGCAACACCCTAAGGAACAGACTTAGAATGACTCTAAAGATGTAAATTGGATATAACCAGTTATTTGGCCTGGTCACTAAATTATTAAACCAGCTTATTTTGATTTTACCATTATGAGAAAAAGTTCTTTAGTTGGGACATAACCAAGCAGATAGCTCCCGCCTTTGATTTCTGTTTAGGATTTATGAGGCTCAATTATCTGCTACATTAATTTCCTAATATGACTCATCTGATCATTTGCTATTAATTCAATACCCTTACTAATTCACTGATTTTGTTATATTTGATTTTTAATTGATCTCTCTGTCTCTCTGATAAGTGATTAATCCTTTGCTCATTTAGTAGTTATTTAGCCTAGTAATTCTTAACAGCTTACAAACAGGATATTGTATCAATTTTCTTTCAATAAGTAACTCAGGTAAGAACCACTGAGAATCTAGTAAAACATTTATTGGTTATGTGGTTTACCAAAGACACCGTTTAACTTCCTTTATATTAGACCGTTAGGCTGCTTGCAGGTGTTTAACCCCACCTTCTCCCCCTCCTCCCAAAAGCACTTTAGGAGGATAAACAGACCATTACTTCAACCCAACTCTGCAGTGCCTGTATAGATCAAGTGCTTCAGTGGAGCTTTTTGCCACTTTAGCTAAAGCTGATTCAATCAGCTATTAGATAAAAGCAGCTAAAATGTCCCACTACAGATGCTGCAGAACCAGGACAACTAAGGCTCTGCCTCTTCTGTGCATGCACTGAGCTCACTGCAGGAATGTGCAGAGTTTAAAGTAAAGCACCGCTTTTTTTTAATGTCTCCAAGCAGGCTTAGTTCTCTCATTCAGATTAGAAATGCATGCACTGACCAGGGTGATTGGTAGTTTTTTTAATACCATATGCAAATTCTCTTTACAACTATTACTCCAAATGCTATGCAATAGATGAGGAGTGCTAAATATATGGCCCATAGGCTGGATCTGGCCTGTGGAGACATATCATTTGGGCCCTGGGTCTCCTTGAATGGTTGGAAATTCAGGAGCAGAGGAAGCAAGGGTGGACTAGGGAGCTCTGGCGGGGATTAATTTGGGTGGTAGCAGGGGAGTGACAGTTGCATTAACCCCTATGGCTCCCTGAGCCAACAGTAGCTCAGGTTATGGCAGCCTGAACTCACTGTACCATTGGAGATAGGTCTGGATCCAGCCAGTAAAAAGCCTCATGGTCAAAAACTAGCCCTGGGAGCCAAAGAAGTTTGACATCCCTGCGTACAGTAAAAGTACTGATGCTGCATATGATTGATCATCAGTACTGTAGAGTAGAATTCATTTTTAGTGATTACTGCTTGTATTGGTTATTTGAACCATAGGAATCAGAAACTTCCCAAATCTATTTCCAGGTTATTACATATGTTTGCTTCTTGCTTACACTAAACTTTGAACCTCTCATTTTTAAGGATATGTGCAATTTTCCTGATTTATCCACAATTTTAAGTGTCACTTTGCTACAATTTAGGAATTTGAAAGCTTGTGGCTATGCCATTTGTAACCTAACTAATCTGCCTTGACCTTGCAGAATTAATTCTGGTCTCACAAAATGGAATTTTCCTTGCATGATGCATTCTTATTTAAGAACTGTATTGCTTTCTGAATCTTGATAGATCAAGCAAAATGTGGCTTACCTGTGGTTGAATGAAGTGCAAGCCTAAAGAAAGGTTTGCACTACAAAGCTTGGGTCTAAATTTGAACTCCTTTAGCATTCAGGCCATCTCTACTTAAAAAAGGAATTCACTTTTTCAGAGGAGATATGCCCTGGGGTCTGTGTGTGTGTGTGTGTGTGTGTCTCAGTGAGAGAAGGGAAGGGTTGAGAGGAAAATCCAAGAAGGAAACTGAATATCACCATACCACATGTGCCCAATATTGATTTTGTATTTTACGTATTCTTATTCATTTTTTAAAAATGTTTACCTGACATGTAAAATGAGTAACTCCAAGCTAACATAAATATTATGTGGTATTACTCTGTCATTTTTAGTTTCCCAAAATTCAATTTGCATTTACACAGTGACATGTTTGAATATATAGTTTAAGTGCATAGTTTTGAAAAACCCTAGGGTGTGTCTACATGTGCATTTATGCTGGCTTAAATTTACTGTGCAGTAAATTAACATGCAGTAAGCGGGAATAGGCTGGCATCTACACATTTAGGCATTAAAGTACATTAACATTGTGTGTGGACTGACTTGGGACTAAACTTCCTCCCAAATCAGTCCACACACACAGCACGCAGTACTACTGCGCACAAACGCGTCTACATGGGTGTAAATATGCAGTAACTAATCAGGCATAAATGTGATACTTGCATGATGTAAGTACCAAATTTATGCTCAAGCTGGTGTAATTTGCCACATTTACAGGCATGCATGTGTAGACGCACACCTGTGCTGCAAAATAATTTTGCTTACTGTACAGTAAATATGCATGTGTAGACATGCTCCTAGAAACCACTTGATCATAAACTTTATGTTAATGTAGCTACATAAACACTATGAGCAATAAATTTATTTAATTATATACAAAGCCTGTTTTTATTCCATTAAACACAATGTATGATAGAATCAATGAAAATATGACATAATGGAACCACAACTTCTGTTACCAAAGAAAGTTCCTATCCAGAGTAAGCATGCAGATATTCATAAAGATATAGAAAGTATAATAGCTGTTATTTGAAGTGCACACTTTTTCACTCCTAATTCAAGATGCTTTATAAACAGCTACTCAAGATATAACTGAACTGACAAAAAACAGCACTCCTGACACTGTGTGTGTAAAAAGGTGTTGCTGTCTTCCTAGTGTTCAGCTCAGCAAAAATGTTATTAAAGATTTCCAATCCTGTGTACTGCATGGCTCTGGCTAACAGAATACTGAATATTTTACCCCAAATCATTGGTTTAAACCAGAGTGGTTACTAGGTATTTTCATCTGATGGCTGTGCAGTGAAAAAGCTCCTTAGTGTATTGATTTCTACACTGCAAAATCCACAGCTATAATTAGCACACTTGTTGGCAGGCCTGAAAGTAAGGCAAAGGGCTAAACTAACAGTGTCAGCAAGACACATTATAGTAGACAATTCAGTGGAGGCTGCTTTGCGCTCAGCACTTGTGAAAATGCGCCCATTAACATAGGGACCGAATGATGGCTTTGGAATCTTCATTTGATTACTGCTTTTGAAAATACTGGTCCAGTTAAACAAATATGAAGAAGAATCCTTGAGCGAGAATGATAGAGAACTTAACAGAATTGATGTAGCTTATATCTCTTTCTACACACCCCGTTAATCCATACCCAAAACAAACTTAGATTTACAGTTCCTCAGACTTGCAACACGTGGACAATAGGTATACTATCCCCACCCCTTATGCACTCATTATGTCTGGGTTTGTCCTGAAATCTGCAAGTTATATCTGTGTAACAAGGTTTGAACTTACTCTTGATGGTCTTGCTCAGGAATATGTCGAATAACTTCATAAACCGTACTATTTATGTCTTGCCTTGGGATAAAGTCAGAGTCAGAAACAGGTTGATTTGAAATCTAAAAGTAACAAATAAAATTCCTGCTATGAAAACAGGTGTAAAGATCTACTTTAGGGAATGAACTAGAACCTTAATTTTTGGTTATTTATTTGTTGTTAAAAACACATACCCTGGAACAACCAGTGGCGTCTGGAAAAGCAACAAATTCATAGATTCCAAAATCATCCAGAGCATTTTCATGCCCTAAAATTAAAACAAGCAAGCAAACAAAAAAAATGCATCAGGAAGTACTGTATCACTTGAGCTGGGATGAATACATACTGCCTCCTGAGGGGTGTTGGTTGTAGCCGTGTTGGTCTAAGGACATAGGCAGACAAGGTTCTTTGGGTAAACATGATATATTTTATTAGACCAACTAAAACGTTGGAAAAATGTTCTTTGCAAGCTTTTGGGCACAAACACCGATCTTCAGTCATAGGGGAGAGTCTGCTGGTGTTCTCCTGGGTGGAATAGAAGCCAAAATGCAACATGCAGGTCTGTGAAAATGCTAATGTATGGCAGTGAGGATCAGAGGGAATGGGAGACACCAAGGAAGCTGAAATATACAACCCTCCGATACCACCAAATTTTCACTGAGGAGAATACCCACGATTACTACTTTGTAAATCTCAACAAGGCTTTCACTGAACAAAAACACACCCAGAGAGATAGTTCACACTTTTGAAAGAGCCACCTGGATACCATGTGAAGAATTGCTGCAGTACGAAAAGAAAATCTCTATGAAGGTTGGTAGAGGGCCAATGTGTTGCCTATCTTCAAGGAAGGAAGGAAGGAAGATCTAGGCAACTACAGGCCAATCAGTTTGACCTCAATCCCTGGAAAGAGCTTGGAAAAAATTATCAAAGAATCCATCAACAACAGGCTAATGGAAGGCAACAGTCTGAGAGGTAGCCAACATGGCTTCATTATGGGTAGGTCTTGCTTGACCAACCTCATTTTCTTCTATGACCAGGTGACACATCATCTGGACAAGGGAGAAGAGGTTGATGTCATATACTTGGATTTCAGAAAAGCCTTTGACTTGGTGTCCCATGAAGTCCTCATGGTAAAATTGGGAAACTGCGGCCTTGACAACCTTACAGTCTGATGGCTGGGGAACTGGCTTCGTGGTTGAACCCAGAGGGTGATAGTTGATGGAACGGAGTCAACATGGTGCATGAAGATCAGTGGCATTCTCCATGGCTCAGTACTCGTACCAGCACTTTTTAATATATTCATACATGATCTGGATTCGAGTGTGAAAAGTAGACTGGCTAAGTTCTCAGATGACACCAAGTTATGGGGAAGTGTGGTCATGCTAGAGAATAGCCTGGGGATTCAGGCCAACCTAGACAGGCTCACAAGATGGGCAGATCAAAACCTGAGGACATTCAACACTGAGAAATGCAAGGTGCTCCACCTCAGGAGAAAGAACCCATATCATACCTATAGTCTCAGCAGTGCTACACTCACTAGCACAACCAAAAGAGGCTTGGGGGTCATGATTGATCACAGGATGAATATGAGCCACCAATGCAATGCTGCAGCTGGCAAAACAAATAAAACTCTGGCTTGCATCTACTGATGCATCTCAAACCAAGACCCAAGAAGTCATCCTCCCACTTTGCTCAGCCTTGGTGAGGCCACAGCTGGAGTACTGCATTCAATTCTGGGCTCCACACTTTAGAAAGGACGTGGAGAAGCTTGAGAGGGTCCAGAGGAGAACCATGTGCACGATTAGAGGTGAAGGGAGCAGACCTTAATGAGAAGAGGCTGAGAGACTCTTCAACCTGGAGAAGAGAAGATAAAGCTCAGAGGGTACTTGGTGGCATAGTATATAAGGGGTGTGTATCGGGAACTAGGAGAACATTTGTTCACCAGGGTACCCCAAAGGAAGACAAAGCCTAATGGTCACAAACTTTTGAAAGACTGTTTTAGATTGTACATAAGGAAAAATTTGTTTACCGTTCGACTCTCTAGAGTCTGGAATACACTCCCCCTAAAAGTGGTGAAAGCAAGTACTCTGGATACGTTCAAGAATGCCTGGATGCTCGCCTTGCTGGGGTCATCTGACCCCAGCTGACTTCCTGCCCTTTGCGCAGGGGGCTGGACCCAATGATCTTGCAAGGTCCCTTCCAGCCCCTAATGCAGGGGTGGGCAAAATACAGCCCAAAGACCAGATCCAGCCGACCAAGCACTTTCATCTGGCCCGCAGGGCCTCCTAACAAATTGTGCCCCACTCAGCCTTCCACCCCTAGGGAAGGAGTGAGGTACCCACATGTACACTTTCCCCCCCAAACACCCTATTGCCTCACTTCCCCGCTTGGGGGGTGGAAGGGCCCTGCCTGGCCAGCATGCAGCTTCTGGGTGGGGCTGCTGCTTTTACAACCCCCAGGAACCTGCTCTGATTCCCCGGTCTCCTCCTGGCTCTGGGCACCAGGTAGGGAAGCAGCAGGGGCTGGGCTGCAACTGGGCGGGAGCTGTAAGCGTGGGGCTGGGGCTGATGGCAGCACAGAGCCTGTGCTCAGCGGGGTGGCAGCAGTGCAGAACTGGGATGGACAGTGTGTGGGTGTGAGGAAGGGTGGAGGGTGTGGGGACCCTTCCACACTTCCCCATAGCTTGCATCCCCAGAAAGTGGTGGCAGTGGTGGCAGCAAAAGCAGCAACAGCAGGTGGGGTGCTCAGGGTGCAGGTGCCTGGCAGGGCATGGCTCTGGCCAGCGCTGCACATCACAGTGAGGGGCACAGCCTCCCTCAGGCTGTCTGTATTGCCAGCACTCCCTGCCAATCACATGCAGCCCCTGCACTCACACAGCAAGGAGGGAATCCAGGTGCCTTCCCTGCCAGGGCTGTGCAGCATTGGAAAGAAGCCCCATGGGCTGGAGCTGCCTGCCTTCCCCACCCACCAGGGGACAGCATCTGGGGCTTCCCTCCCCTGCGGTGCAGCCCCAGCAGGGAAGGCAATGGGCTCCAGCCCACAGGGCTTCTTTCCTGTGCTGCTTAGCCCCAGCAGAGAAGACAGCTGGCTCCAGCATGTGGGACTTCTCTCCACACCCCCCTCCACAACACCCACCATACACACACAACCACACCCACCATACACACGTACACATGCACACCATACACATACCACACAATATACAAAACCAAGAGTTTATTTTTGAGTTATTATGCAATCACCTCTATATACAGTATGCAAATACAAATCATGACAAAAATATTTTTTGTAATAAAAATAAAATATGTTATAGTAGGTGTTTTTGATTTTTAGTGTATGATTTGTTTTCTTGCCTGGTTCTAAGATGGCAATCTTCCCTGCCCCCTGGAGTATTTGGGGGAGGCAAGGGGAGGGACTTCTGGTGGCAAAGGTCAGGGGGCGGGGGGGTCATGAGACTTCCAGTCCCAAGATAGTGACAAGGGGGTAGGGCAACTGTCAAGGGGCCGGGCTACCCATGCAGCCCTCGATAGCTTATGAAAATTCGTTAAGTGGCCCTCCACCTGAAATAACCACCCCTGCCCAAATGTCTATGAAATCTGTGAATCGCCCACCATTTGTTATGATATACCACCCTTCCCTGGAACCTATACAGAAAATCCTCAAAGAATTGCAACCCATAGTAGAAGAAGACCCAATTATTAAAGAGATCTTTCCAGAACCACCCAGCCTAGCCTTTAAACAAGCACTGAACCTTGCTAACCTCACCACCAGAAGCAAAATTCCTATGGCCCAAAGCACACCGAATGGACCTAGACCATGTTAGGACAAGAAATGTAAAACCTGCCAACACATCTCCCCCACTTCCACAATAACCACACTCCATAAAAGAACCATCACCATTCCTGGATCTTATACCTGAACTTCCAGAAATGTAATATATCTCTTACAGTGCACTAAATGCCCTGATGGAAAATATGTAGGAGAGACCAAACAACAACTGCGTACCAGAATTAATGCACACTGAAAATCTATCAAAGACAGAAATACCCAATTATTTGTGGGTGCATATTTCTCACAAGAAAACCACTCTTTTTCCAATCTCTAAGCTGTAATCCTCAAAGGGAATTTACAAGTCCCCTTTCTTAGATGAGCCTATGAACTTCACTTCGTAAATCTACTTGGAAGAAAAAATCATGGACTAAATATACATGTAGTAGAACACCATTGGGGTGGTTACCACTTTAAGGACTTGTGCAGGCTACAGAGGAACATGCAGGGGGGAGTGGCAGAGAGATACCCCTCCCTTGGAAGGATTTTAAGGGGGGGAAGGTGTGTGGCAGCACACCTTTGGGTGCTTGCCACTTTCAGGGCTTGAGCAGGCTGTTAGGTAGCCTGCAGGTAACTGTAGAGCCAATTGGGTGGTCACATGACAGCCAGGAGATCACCTGATTGGAGCAGGGCTGAGCAACTGCAGTATAAGAGCAGGGCCTGAGGAGCAGAGCTAGTAATTGCTGCTGGGATACTGCTGAGGTAACATTGCCCTGCTAGAGAGCTGCTGCTCCCAGGAACAGTCTGGAGATCAGGGTAGGAGCTATGGGGATGCAGGGGGTTTCTAGGGACCCAGGGGGTGTCCCAAGCCCTGAGGAAATGGCTATGGGCCTGAGGAAGAGCTAGGCCAGTCTAGGAAAGGGGCTTAGAGAGTATGGGCTTACTGAGGGGCCAGGCAAGCCCCTGATTAGACCTGGCTGTGACTAAGGCCAGGGGCTCAGATGAGCCCAGTGGAATAAATGGCTGCCAGATATAAGACCTTTGGGGCTCTAGGCAAGCCTGGCATGAGATGACTATTTTATGGTGGGGCTCTGGAAGGACCCCCACTGAGTAGGAAGGTCAGCTGCTGCTAGACTGATCTCATAAAACCTTGACTGGTCAATGCAGGGGGGCCAAGGCTGACATGCCGAAGGGCAAGTAAACCAACTGAGGGGCAGGCCAGGGATGTGGAGAGCTACTGGGACCCTGACTGGCCCAGAGGCAGGGCCAGGGTCTTGAGGAGGCCGAAGGTCTCTCTTTGGGGCAGGGGGGAGGGGTATCCACTGCCAAGAGAGGATAGGAGGTCAGCCAGCATGCAGGGTGGTATGAAAGAGGCTGAAGCTCAGCCTCCTGATGGGAGGTATCCTGCAACGGGCCTGTGAGTCATGGGTCCAGCAGATGAGAAACAGATTATGAGGTGGAGGCCCAGGAGTGAGCAGCTAAGTAAGAATATCAGGAAGCCCACTGAGGGGAAGAAAGACCAGGGCAGCTAGACCTGCAGTTGGTCCTGGGGAATGACCTTAAACTACACTTTGCTGGGGAGGATGGTGTGGTGGGGCTGCCTGTGGCAAGACAGTCCCCAGGAAATGCCACATCAGTACCTCCCTAGTAAACTGTGAGTATGGGACACTGGAAAACCTCAGTCCCCACTGCTTTATGGGTGACCATATGGATGGGAAAGGCTAGGGGAGCACACCCTGACAGAAAAACAAACATGGAGGCCAAGAGGGTCCCAGGCCCAAAGTCTGAGAGTGAAGCTTGAGTGAGAACACAGGGACCAGAAAGGCCTGAGGCCCAAGGCCTAAGTGAGAGTGAGGCCTAATGGGAGGCCTGAGTAGGGGCAAGGTCCAAGTATGTCAACAGATGCCCGAGGCCTGAGTGGGCTGTAGACCCAGAGTGGGGTCCAGGCATGTTGACAGACACCTGAGGCCCATGGGGCATAAGTACCCACAGCCCCAGTGAGGGAGCATGAGTTGAGGCCCCAGTGAGGGGGGGCATGTGGCCATGGTAAGTCTCCAGACAGTTGAGGCCAAGTTTGGGCCAGAGGCCAAACACAGCTCAGCAATGGGGCCAGGGGAGTAATTTTGGATGCTATTTGTGATGCATGGGACACGGTAAACGGAAGGTCGGACCTGTGTATTGTGCCATTGGCATCCATGCGTTAAGTGGGCAGCCTCCTGTACTTATCCATCTGTTTTGTTCCATACATTAAGGTGTGGCAGGAAAGGCCAGGTGAACTGCCTTAGACAGGTGGGCAGGCTGATATTGACTCCTGGGATGGGCCCCTGTCACCATAGACATTGGATTTATGGCACATTATAACCTGCCTGCCAAATGATAACCCCAGGTAATCTGGCTGCATTTTACTAGCTACACTCTATCACCAATTCAACATTTACCCCCTTTCCCCCTCCAACTACCTGTTTCACACCTATTGTCTCCCATTCCCTCTGATTCTCTGCTATGCATTTGCATTTTCACAGACTTGCATTTTGGCTTCTGTTCCACCCAGAAGAACTCACAAACACTAGCAGACCCCCCCGCCCCTATTCCTGGAAAAGGTGTTTGTGCCCAAAAGTTTGCAAAGAACAATTTTTCCAACTATTTAGTTGGTCTAATAAAAGATATCACATTTACCCAAAGAGCCTCGTCTGCCCCCTGCCTCCTGAGGTATTCCATTCTCCAGATATTTATATCATCTCTAAGATATCTCCCCTCTACAGTGATTCAATTCTTATCCCCTTAGCACTGTATCGTGGTCTAGCCCGATTCTTCTGTGTGTGTCTGAAATAGAAAGGGTGTTCTTAATCTGGATGGGCTAGCCAGATTTAGGTAATTTAGATTTAAAAACAGCAGAGACAAAACAACTTGGGTTCTCATTTGAGTTAACAGTTTGGCAGTGGAGTCTAAGGTTGGGCTCAAGCTACTAACTTGAATTAAAAGCCAGGTTGTCCCATCTGCTGTTATTTTCACCTAAATTGGCTATCTTGGGTGAGGTAATCTGAGTTAAAAATGCATGCTATCTCCCTCCCTTCCTTTCTTATTGCAGTATAGACATAACCTCAATTACTGTGGCTGGAGTTGGACTTTGTGGTCAAATTTTGTTTTTTATCGTTACCTGAAAATGTCTGTGCTTTTCGGTAATCTGCATCAGGGCTAGAAAATATAAATAAACCTTTCAGTTTGCTACCACTTGCAAAGAAAAGAAATATAGTCAGAAAAAATTACACTTTTTTGTTCGAAAAGACACAAATAAGAATGATTTATCTTATTACCTGCTCTGTAACTTCTTTTGTATGACTGAAAAGAAGAGAAAATGGTAAATCAACATTTATGTTATAATGCCCAGGAACAACATCTGTAATATGATTTAAGCTTAACCTACCTTTGTATGGCTGATATCTTTTCCATAAGAATAAAAGTGTCATAGACAAGATCAAAAACAATGAAATTCCAGTTATTACTGCTAGAGATGACAAAGACTTCCCTTTCTGAGCAAGCTTCTCAAGTCCTAGGTCAAAGAAAAAAAAAGAATTGTAGCCTTTGTGATTAGTGTTCCATTATATATACATGCAGTCCTTGGACTTACGTCACAAATGGTTCCTGAAAACTGCATCTTAAGTCTAAACATTGTAACTTGGAACCAATTTTCTCATAAGAAACAATGTTATAAATGGGGGATTGGTTCCCAAACCAAGGCCCGATACCCTATTTTCACCAAAATACCTCATAATTTTGTACTCGATCAGTTTATAGATGAGTAATATAGCTACATTAATGTATTTATATTGTAAATAGCAATCATATTGATTTGGAAGGACTTCTTTGAGGTGACTTTGCTGGACTTTTTTGAAAGGCTCTTGGTTGGATTTTTCGAAGGGTTTTTGGCTGGAGTCTTCTCAGGAGTCTTGGCTGCAGGTTTTTCTGGAGTCTTGCCTGCTTTCTTAACGAAAGTGTCCAAGCAAGTCTGGACAGATGTTCTGCAGGGAGATGAGCAATGCAGCAAACTTGTTCGCTGGTGTGGCATTGCATCGGATCAAGCGTTGTAAAGGTGAAACTGATGTCATAAAGTTGAAACAGGGTGTCAGTTTATAAACACTGTAAGTGTGAAATGTTGAAATTTAGCTTGAAAAGTTGTAAGTTAAGGAGTGCCTGTACTATGCTATTGTGTCTTCACTGAAAAAAATATCTTCACACATGATTTATGGCTAGAGAATCTTGCTCATGCATGACTCTGAGATTATTATAAACTATGTAATGCATTATTATTCAGAGAGACCTGAAATAGAAGTCTGATAATGTATACAATTGAGAAAACACTCCAAAATATGTTTAGTCCCCTTAAGTGAGTGGAGGACACTAAAAATATTAGGGCAAACAGTACCAGATGCAAAAAACAGTTCATCTTCCACATTTACACTGGTATAATTTATACTAATTTTGTACACTGTACAGAGCAAAGAGATGGCCAATTAGTTTACAGGAGGCACTGTTATAACCACTAGATGGCAGACAGCAGGTTTGCTTTCAGCACATGTCTACCCAGGGATAGCTCTAGATACACAACACTGACACCACTGTAGTTTTACTCTTAAATTTTCCTGAAGTAATGCTACATGTGACTCAAGTAGGTTATACTGATGTAGTGCTGTATACTGTCTGTCCACTCCTTGGTTATGCTGATAGAAAGGCAGGCTACATCAGTGTAAAAGTGATGTATGCCCTGCTACAATTGAATTTAGCTGCCTAGCACTACTGAGAATGGACATACCTTATATATAAAGATGCAGGGATATTGCACCACAGAGAACAGATGATTTGACCAAGATTACACAGAAAATGAATATCAGGAGTTGGAATTAGAAACCTTAGTTTCTACTTAGTTCAAATGCTGTATTTTAACTACAAAAACCTTATTCCAATGTACATTGCTGACAATCCATGTTCTTGGTTACACTCCCTTGGAGAGAGAGTGCAATTAAAATGAACATAAAGTTGTTTGACTGTGTTTGGTAATTGTTTTCATCATAGTCTGTAGAACATAATACTAGGAGACAATGGCACACTATTGACCATTATGTCTGCAAGTCAAAACTGGAATTTGACAACTAATGGGTACATTTACACATCACTGTACGGTGACGTTTGGAAGTACTAAAGCACGGCATAGCATGGGTACTGCAACATGCGCATGGTTAGATCTTGCCATTAGGTCTCAGTAGTGACATGCTATACTCATGGAGCATGCTGCTACAGCAACATAGCTGGTGATCACGTGTAGACACATGTGATCACTACATTGCCATAGTGCACTGTATGGCAAAGTAGCGTATCGCTATGTCACTGTAGGGCAATGTGTAGACGTGTCCATTGGGAAGTTTCTCCCTCAAACATACTGGTCAAATTCCTGCCCCCATATAGCTGCCTTGTCTTCCTGTGTCCTGGCCAGCAGAGCTAGATGGGTATACAGTGATGAGCCCATTGCAGTTTCTGAGACTGAGAATGTCCACTGTGATTTGCGTTTCCAGGGAAGTCCAGAAGGACTTCTGAACAGCTCAGACCATTTTGCTCTGCGGTTTCTAACCCCAGTGCTGCCTAATCAAACTCTTACCATTGCTTATGGCAGAAGCTTGCCCTTATAGTTTGGTTAGACTTTGACACATGTGAGGTGTAATTTTAAGAGCTACCTATAATCAAAACTTTAGAGTAAAACAGTATTTGAAGTACTGTGGACAAACCATGAAATAAGAAGATAGTAATTTAAAGATGTTCCAGGTCAAGAGAATGAACATATTTTCATATCTAAGAAGTGAGTATTCAAGCAAGCAGCAGATAAAGATTTTTATTATACTCAGGGCCCCTCTATGTGTGGTTAAGGGCACAATGGTATCTAATGAGTGATCCACACAACTGCACCTCCTGTCATGCCACACATGCATGGAAGGAGGGGCAATTGTGGGGACACTTATTAGATCCCATTACACCTCAAGGGAGCAATCCTCAATGCACAAGCTAAGTCTATTCCATCTTGGAGGAAAGGCAGCAAGGGGGCACAGCAGCCCCCCTGGCTCTCCAGGGACCTAGCAGACCTCCTGAGGCTAAAAAGAAAGGCCTACAAAGGATGGAGGATGGGAGTCACCTCCAAGGAGGATTATTCTGCACTGGTCCGGTACTGCAGGGAGCATACCAGGAAAGCCAAGGCTGCAACTGAACTCCAACTAGCTTGTTGCGAAGAGTTCAGTGAGAGTAAGAAAAATGATTAAGCCCTGGGAAGCATGATGTATGAAGACAGAATAAAAAAGGTAGGGTTATTTATTTTGGAGAACAGAAGACCCTGGGTGTGGGGCAAGAGTTGATATGAAGGGTTAAATACCTGAAGGGCAGTTCTGGAGAGGATGAATATAGATCAGGGGTGGGCAAAATGTGGCCCAGGGCCCAGATGTGGCCCACCAGGCTATTCTATCCGGCCCGCAGGGCCCCTAAAAAATTTAGAAAATTTAATATTAATCTGCCCTGGGCTGCCTGTCATGCAGCCCTCAATGGCTTGCCAAAACTCAGTAAGTGGCCCTCTGCCCAAAATAATTGCCTGTCCCTAATATAGATTATTCTCTGTGGTCAAAGGGCAAAGGGCTAGGAGCAATGACCTCAACCTGCAGCAAAAGGAATTTAGGTTGGAGATGGGGAGAGGAGCCTTCTACCTATGAAGGTGGTCAAACATTAGAATGGTCTACCTAGAGAAGTTGTGGAATCTCCATACCTGAAAACTTTCAAGACCAGGTTTGACAGAAGCTTGGCTGGGATGGTTTAGTTAGGGATGATCCTGCCTTGAGCATGGGGCTGCACTAGATGACCTTGCAGTGTACCTTCCAGCCCTACTTTCCACTGATCCTATGATTTTCTGCATTACAGAATGGTGAATGGCTTTGCCCTGACCTGTATTCAGGCTTACTTTTTATTTAGTAGATCTAAGATGATCTCTGTTTTTTACCACATGTAATCTAGGCTTTCATAGTTTAACATTTTTCATTGCAAACTGAAATCACCATCTTGTTCTGATCATTCTCCTTCCTGTTTTTGTGAAAATTGAATTATGAATTATTTAGTAGACAGAGAAGGCCTGTATCTGATTTCATGCTCCCATGTTTCATTTGACACTCAGTATATGCCTGAATTTGGCAATCAGTGTTGTCCAAACTTAAAAGAAAAAGCAAAGGAATGAAAAGAAAAAAATCTTTGGAGTTGTCAAAATGGTTCCCTGCCTTGAAGTGGGGGAAGAGAAATGAATCCTGTTCTCTTGCCTCAGAAGTGATTGCAATATAGAAGTTCTAATTATGACCACTAGGGCTGTGCAAAGCTTCAATTGCTGATTCAATTTGGAGGAGATTTGGCCTTATTCGGCAGCTGAATCTCTGAATCCAACTTGAATCGAGTCAGGAGACCCATTAATCTCTCCAAATTGAATTGGAAGCCTCCAAAAGCAGACCCTACTATGACAGGCTGAGAGCCCTGGGGCTCTTTAGCTTGGAAAAGCGCAGGCTCAGGGGTGATCTGATGGCCACCTATAAGTTTATCAGGGGTGACCACCAGTATCTGGGGGAACGTTTGTTCACCAGAGCGCCCCAAGGGATGACGACTAGGTTGAACGGTCATAAACTACTACAAGACCGTTTCAGGCTGGACATAAGGAAGCATTTCTTTACTGTCAGAGCCTCCAAGGTCTGGAACAGCCTGCCACCGGAGGTGGTTCAAGCGCCTACATTGAACACCTTCAAGAGCAAACTGGATGCTTATCTTGCTGGGATCCTACGACCCCAGCTGACTTCCTGCCCTTTGGGCAGGGGGCTGGACTCGATGATCTTCCGAGGTCCCTTCCAGCCCTAATGTCTATGAAATGTCTTATTGCTGATGCAGACAGAGCCCAATCGTGATCCAGGGCTCTCCCTACACCATCTCCTATAGTTGCAAGCCTCACAGCTGATGGGGCTTTCATCAGGGGCAGCATTCCCTGCACTGGCTCTGCTATGAGCTCCACAGCTGATGTGGACTGAGGGGCTCACACCGAGATCAGCACTGGGAATGCTGCCCCCACCATGAACCTTGTAAATTGTAGGGCTCCCAGGGGGGCGCTACAGGGAAAATACTGCCCCTGCTGTGAGTTGTGGGGCTTGCAGTGGGGGCAGTGAGGAATACACTGCCACCACTCTATGAGCCTCCTGAGGTGCAGGGCTCACAGAGGGGGTAGTGATTTCCCCACTGCCACCTCTATGACTCCCACACTTCACAAGGCTTTCAGTGGTAGCAGTGTTCTCCCCACTGCAAGTCCCACAGCTAAAGAGGCTCACAGTGGGGGCAGTGCCATGAATGGTGCCATCACTGTGAGCCTTGTTACTGTGGGCCTGGCAGCAGATGGTGTTACCTGTGGCTAGGAGCCCCTCAGTTGATGGGCTCTCTGCCACAGGGGAGCACCTGCCCGCACGTTCAATTAATGATGTGATTGGAACAGGCTAGGAA